TTGTCCAAGGAGTGCCTCTGTTCATTTTCATTTGTCTTTGATCTTCTGTTGCCCAGGCTGCTTATCTGTCTGAGTCCTGTCTTTTTTTTTCTAGTCAAATTTCTTTCTTGTTTATGATCCCTCTGGTTTTCTCTTTCCTCTGCCTCCCACCTTTCTCTTTCTTTTGCTTCCTGCCTCTCTCTCTTTTGCTTCACTTTCTCTCTCTCTCATTTAACACTTTCTCTGTCTCCCCAAATTCTGCAAGGTATAATCTTGCAACCTATCTACTTGCTGTAATTTTTTTTTTATATCTGATGCTGACTGTCCCATAAAGGCCATGGCCATCACTGCCTGCTGACCTTCAGAGGTTGGGTAAAATACCTGTAAACCTCCATTAAAAATTTAAGGAACACATATTTTAACTGGCCCCTGGAGAACCTCTTTTACCTTGGCCGAATTAGTAGTGTGCCTTGCCGCTGAGATTTGCCATGAGCCCAGCATTTTGACTGTCAGTTTCTTCCTTTAAGAATTAATTAGACATAGAAGAATGAAAATAGATCCATATTTATCTCTATGCACAAAACTGAAATCCAAACAAATTCAAGATCTTAACATAAAGCCAACAATATTGAACCTCATAGAAGAAAATAGTTTAAAATATATTTTTAAACACAGCCTCAGTGGCATAAACATTGAGAGAAACAATCAATAAATAGGATCTCCAGAACTGAGAAGCTTTTTGTATAGCAAAGGATATAATCAACAGAACATAAAAACATATAAGGAACTTAGGAACTTAGTCTTCATAAGAACAAATAATCCAATAAAATTATGTTACAGACCTAAACTGTAAACTCTCAACAGATAAACTTAAAATGACTGAAAGATATTTAAAATTTGCTTAAATATAACATCCTTAATTATTGAGGAAATGCAAATCAAACAACTCTGAGATTTTATCTTATCCCTGTAAAAATGACCAAGATTAAAAATATTGTTCGACAATTTATGCTTAAGAGAATGTGGAATAAAAATCCTCCATTTTTGGTAAAAATGCTAACTGATGCAGCTTCTTTGAACATTAATATGTTGAATTTTTGGAATTAGGTAACATATTACCTTAAAACTTAGCAATATCCCTTTTGGGCTTTTACATAGCAGAATTATTTTATCATAGACAGAATCTGAAAACAACCCAAAATGTACCTCTTTTATATCAGTAATAAATGAGAATCTTTGCCATGTTTTTAAAATAGCTATAAACATTATAAAGAGTCAAAAGGGCCATTTAAACTCAACCTTATCACTCAGCAACACCCCCTTTGCCTTTGTAGTGGGTGAGAGGCTTCAGCAGATCTTTGCCATATGGGGCAACTCGGGGGCCCCACTCCATCACAAGCATTGCAAGCAGTCAAGTGTCAAATTTAGATCTAAACATGGGCACATGTGCAACTTAGAAGCTCAGCTGGGCTGTTTACATGGCCCTGGCCCGGGGCTGGATCCATAAACAGAGTTGGTGTAGAAAGAGCTGCAGGCAGCTTCCCACCGCTCAGCTCCCGGCCACCGGCTAGCTTTACCCAAAATAATTACATGGAAACTGTATTCTTTTAAACACTGCTTGGCCCATTAGCTCTAGCCTCTTACTGGCTAACTCTCACATCTTGATTAACCCATTTCTATTAATGTGTGTAGCACCACGAGATAGTGGCTTACCAGGAAGGATCTTAACCTGTGTCCATCTCGGAGAGGAGAGGCATGGCGACTTCCTGACCCTGCTTCTTTCTCCCAGCATTCTGTTCTGTCTCCTCAGCCTACCTAATTTTCTGTCCGATCAAAGGCCAAGGCAGTTTCTTTATTAACCAATGAAAGTAACACATAGACAAATGACCCTCCTCCATCAAGTTGATAATTGAATTTTTTATGGACACACTGCATAGTAAGAAATATAAAAACCAACAATCTGTATTTTTTAATAAGCACATTTTTTTAAAAGTGACTCAGCTTAACTTTCCCCAATTTTTAAACCAGAAGCTTTACCCTGGACACAGCACGTGATGCCTGGAACAGGAAATCCCTAGAAGAGAGATGCTATCAGGGCTGGGAGGCACTTCTGATGTTGGCTTGCCCTACTACCTGTTGCTCTGGAATCCACATTCGCAGTTTACCAAAAGCCCCAGAGATACTTACTTGCAATCTCTCTATCTGCTGCCAAAATGAAAAGGTCCAGGCTCTTTAAGAAACTTTTGGTTTCTAATAGGGTATCTGACCCCAGAGAAACAGCCTACTGCTGCTTCCCAGGCTTACTGGGTCCTGTGGGGAGGAATTAGCACCAGCTTGGACCCAGCTGGCATGTGTGCCTCCTGCACGGGAAAAGAGATGGGGGAGGGGCAGACTGCAGTTATCAAAGTCAGAGGAAAGCAGGGCCATGGTGCCTGCACTGTGCTCTGTAACAAAATGATTTGACCCAGAGTAGGGGGGTTCTCTGGACAAGCTCTCCCAGGTGACAATATAGGGAACCTGGTCCAGGTGGCCATAAGGGTCAGACTGGAAGACTTTTTCTTTAACCTGCAAAATAGTATCTAGATTGAACATCCCACTCTGTGGCCAGCCCACTTCAAAAGTGGGCCATTCCGGGAAGCAGACTGCTGGCCAGCATTTCTTTCAGATTTCCACAGCTCGGTCTGCAGCTTTTCTCTAAAGTTAGAGTTAGGGTCAGAGAGGTGGTTACTTACTGCCCCATGGTACCAGATTTAGACTCAAGTACAAACAGATACACAAAAACAAAGACACGACATAAAACCAAAGACATGAAAAGGCAAAACCAAACTCAAAATCAGAAGCTGTGCAGCACTACAGATGGAGGTGAGCGACAAATATCTGTGCCTCCTGGGAACTAGAGGAGTGACCTGGTTACTCCTAGCCCCTTTCAGACACTGGAGTGTCCTCCAGATTTCAGATTACTGGAGTGTCCTCCAGATACCAACCCTACATAGGTACAATTTCTCAGAATACCAATGAACACAAACTACAATAATCACAGAAACAAAGCAGGCAGACAGACAAAGACAATAAGAGCACTCGAGCTTACTTCCAACAAGCCCTGGAATGGGTCCAGAAGTGAATCATTTCCCAGCCCATGCACCAAAATGTTGGACTAGATGTCCGAACATCAGGGAACAGTTACTCCAGACACCACTCACACAGCCTCAATTAATGCAAAAGCAAGAGAAATTTTTATTCTGTCATGACAGGGCCCTTCAGGTTTGGGATATAAAGGACATCTGATAGCTGTTACAGTCCATCTTTTAAAGCAAAAAGCCACAAACACAAGGGGGAACCTGTAGGTTGTTTTCCAACTTATTGGATTGGCTTATTCAAACGGTTACTAGCAGTGATTGCTCTATTCCAGTGCAGGAGAATAGCTGTGTGGTCAGGTGATAAGGGAGAGCATCTCTGGTTCATCCTGACCTTGTTCTAGTGACTAAATCAATACATCAGGAACTGAGTCAACATCTGTGGGATGTCTTTGCCTCAATTCCCAGAATGGAGTTATATTTGAAGATTATTCACAAGGACACAAAAAGATAAACAGTCCAGTAGGTAGGGGGACAACTGTCCCATTTCCAAGAGAGTGAGTGTAAAGTTTTAGAAAAATGTCTTAGGGTTGAGAGGGCTTAAAAATACATTTAGAGACTTTCAGGATCACCTTTGTCTGAGCTTTGTTTATCCTTTAAGACAGATTCAATATCAAGTAGCCCAGGATGGAAACCCTGTCTCAAAAAAAACCAAAAAAAAAAAAAACAAGTAGCCCAGGATGACTTTGAACTCACAGAGATCTGTCTAGCTCTGTCTCTCAAGCCCCAGGATTAAAGGTCTGTGCCACCACTCCCTGGATTGTATAACAGAATAGTATGGCTGCTTTGCCCTCTGAACTTCAGGCAAACTTTCTTTATTAAAATACAAATAAAATACCACTATAGAAGGTGAGAGAAATCAGAGGAGAATAAAGAATCATATTCTCAATATCTAATGACAGAACAACAGGTCAGGAAGAGAAAGTTTGAATTCTTAATAAATCAATCCCCTTCTCCCTTTTCAAAACCAATAAATGTTGTTTTTCAAAGCCGAGTCATTCAACACACTGCCAGGTGCAGTAGTCTTTTTCCCCTTAGGCTTCCATGTCTCACTTTTTACAAGAGCATGATGGGCTGTTATCAACTCAGCCACTGTCAGTGCCATGAAAGAGAACTGAGGGCTTGTGTCCTATGTGGCAGTGAGGACTGGGCCAAGCCTCCACAGCTCAGCAGAGTTGGAGGGACTAAAATGGGCTTCACCAAACAGGAACACTACTAGAATGCACAAACTGATTTTAAATATTTTACTCATATTATATTTTATTTGGGTAGGGTTTTGTCTACAGAGATGGCTGTGCCCATGGAGTAGTAACTTAGATCCTCTGTAGCACCAGTTAGAGATGGTTTAAAAGTCCCCCATGTGTGCTGGGAAGTGATCAAGGGTCCCCTGCACAAATAACTATTGCTTTTGTCAACTGAGTCATCATCTCTCCAGTTCACACATGCTAAGTTTGAAGGAAAAATGTCTTCATTCTCTTGCCCTTTTCTTGTAAATAAACATTCATGTTTATTTTTCACTTTGTTCTGAGCCCTTGATCATATGGTCTGCTCATCCAATGCAGACAGTTTTCTGCAAAGAAACCTTACTGGAATGAGATTGGGATCAGCAGAACCTTGAATCCCAGTTTGCATCTGATGAGACAAAAATCAAAGCAGTCTAAAACAGGGTAGAAGTTGCATAGAGTATACCAGAATCTGGTGCTGCTCCTCCCCCTACCTGTCCTTCACTAATTTACAGATGTGTTGAAGCCAGGCGTAGCAGCTATGTTTCCCCAAATTCATTGCAATTGCACCTCAGAGCCCACAGTCTAAACAGGTGTCATTAGTAACAACACTGACTGAAGGAAGACACACCTAGGTCACAGCCCACAGAGTCCTAAGATCGCTTCAGGCATTTGAGCGGGTGATCCAGGAAAAGACCACATGCAGGAAACAGAGAGGCACATACTTCAGCCACCCAAGTGGGGATAGGAGTGTCTTCCAGCTCAAGGTCTCAAAAACCTCAGAAGCATGAGCTGCAATGAAATCCATTGCCCTAGTTTTCAATTGCACTGAGCTGTGGAGGTCAACCAGGAAGAGAGTGTGGGCAGCATTCTCCACAGAGAGGTCCCTGCAGAGGGCACTCTCGCACATGAACTTCAAACGCTCCAGGCCATACTTGTAAGTAGCTACCAGCACAGCATCTGCCATGCTGTGGAGATCTGGTTGCTTCCCAGTGTAAATGAAGTCCATCATTGCCTTGAAGACTTCAGGTTTCAGGTCATGAATCTCAATGCGATTCTTTCTGCTCTCCTCTGTGTCATGTTCAAACATGGCTCTGAAAACTGGAGAGTGAGCAGCTAAGATGGCCTTGTGAGCCCGGAATTCCTGGCCAGCTACCACCACGCAGCAATCTGTGAAGCTCGAATTCTTCCACAGCTCTCCTAGATCATCTCCTAATATGCATTTGGGAACCTGGATTCTCGGCTCCGTGCTATCATCAGGGATACTGTAGGAGTACAGGAAAGGATTCCCCATGCAGTAGAGGGTAAAGTGGTCTTCAGGGACAAGGCCACAAGAATGGTCCAAGAGAAAATCTCAAAGAACGAACAATTTGTAACCCCTTTGGTGGCCTGGACGGAAACTAAAGTATTCTGGGCTAGTCACAGGTTCTATTGTTTCTCCTTTGGCGTTTATAATCCAAAACTTCAACCGTACTACGGTAAGGCGACTCTTTCTAGAGCTGAGCAACTCTAAGTGAACTGACAGGTAATCTGAGCTTTCTTCATCTATCCCCTTAGAGTGAACTCTCAAACACCATTTGTCATTGTCTTCTATTGAAAAAGTTGGGCTTCTAATACTGTCCCACATTTCCTCCAGAATAAAACGGAAGTTGTGGATGGTCCACCTGCAGGAGAAATTCTGGAGGTTCAACTGTGTATAGCCCCGGGTCTTGTCTATGGTGTCCTGTGACATTTCTCATGGAGGTAGTTTGAAGGTTAAACTGGATCCAAAATGAAAAACTAGGATTTGTCTTCTCTTGCCCTTAGGAAACAATAATAGGCATGATATACATTTTTAGCTTCTGTTTCTCCTCTGTTCCCTCTTCTATGAGCCCGGAAACTCGAGTCTCTGAAATTATCCAGATTTCAATTCTAATTTCAGTGTGGGTAGACTAGGCTACACGGGACTGTTGTATCACTTCATTTTTTTTTCTAGATTGAATCTTAGGTCAGTGCATTTCTAAGTATGAGAATCATACACAACTTTTGATAATTTACAACATTTTATATACTTAGCCAAAATTTTGCACAGTGGTTCTCTAGTGTAACAGAACATACCCAAAGACTCTCTCTGTCTGAACAAAGAGATTCATTAGAATGCCTTAGGGCTGCAGTCCTGCTAATCACACAAAAGCAAGCTGTGAAGGGAGAGTCCAAGTATCCAGTACTTACTCAGTCCAGGAGATTAGACGTGCCGACTGGTCTTCAATCTATGCTGGAATTGGGATGAAGAATTCTCCAATGCCAGTGAGGGAATGGTTTTGCTGCACTGGAGGGCAAGCAGGCAATGAGCAACAGCTTCCTCCATATTTTTTATAGGGTCCTAGGAGACAGAAGGCCCAGCCAGAGGTGTGTCCTCCAGACTCTAGATATGGATTAAAGGTGTGTCCTTCAGGTCTTGAGATAAATGTTTATGTTTTTCTGCCTCCAAAGTGTGTCTGTGAAGTGCTGTACCTACTTCAACTTAAGCAAAAACATTTCTCACAGTCGTGCCCTCTGTTTAGGATTACAGTTAATTCCAGGTATATTCAGGTTCTTCTACTTAGAGTTGTGAAATGTGTTTTCATTCCTGGTGCATCTACATTTTTTGTCATCTGCCTGGAGAAGGCTGTTGCAGTCTCCCATCATCTTTAATCTTTGGACAATGCGGCACCAAGATACCCTAAAGGATTTCCTACCCAACAACCATAATCTTTCTTGCCTTCATAGTAGAGACTCAATCCAAATTTCTGATGGTGATCTTGATCCATCATCCCTCCTAACACTGTTATTTCCTTCTCAGCCTGTTGTACTAAGGACATCAGAAGCTCAAAATGGCTTCGGAGAGGTCTGAGCTTCCATTCAGTGGAGTATTTGTTGTGCTCCAGAGAGAGGCAAGGCCCCCACACCAACATTCACCCCGGAACCAAAACTTCCAGACCAGAAGGACTAAGGTCATGGGAATGGGAAGCAAAGTTTTTCCCCAGGAGTCGCTAGGGGAGATAGTGAGAGGAGCTATTCCCTTTTCTACCTCTTAATGCCTGGACCAATGGACACAGGCTAAGGAGAAAACTGCCTCCTGCAGAATCCTGACCTAGCACTAGAGGCTGATGGTACTTCTTTAATCTTTCCTTGTGTCTTGAAATGTCCAGTCCATCTTTCTGTCCTGACAGCTGTTTCGGGAAGTTGGTGAACATGGGAATATCAACTGAACATATCATAATGAGATACAATAAACATAGGCACAAGCTCTCATATCAGGGCTGGGGGAGTCGACCAGAAGGAAGAAAAGGTTCCCTGTATCAGCGCAAAATAAATGCAATGCAGATATCAAAGAATATTTACCATTTTAATAATAAACTTACAGAACCAGAGTTCCAGCGTACTACAGGAGGTAGGGAGGAAAAAAAGGGGCCAAGCCGCCTCCCCGCGTGCCCATTTATTGGCAGGCATTCGCCTGAGGCAAACCCTGCCCCCTAAAGGGGCTGTCTTAACCCTACATCTCCCCCTTTTGTCTAAATAAGGCAGAACTAAACCAAATATAACTATAAACAATAATAACAAATGATAAATATAACAAACAATATTGAGAACAAAAGTTTTGCTAGAGAGTAACTACAATTAAATAATCTTCAACTCCATCAAAGATCTGAGAAGGGAGTAAATATTACTTAACAAATGAGAGATATCCAAAATGTGCAACAAATGACAGAGACAACTGACTACCTGGGCAATCACCCAAAATCTCATTTGCAATGTTGAGGCAACCAACTTTGGCTAAGGCCTAACATAACCCAAAGGCCGGTTCTGCCAAGAAGACAAGCTCCCAGTGGAGTATCTTTGGTGCTCAACGTTCTCTCGGGAGTAGAGTGGTGTTGCCAGGAGTAATTGTGTCTCGTTGGCACAGAATTCTAGGTTAGATTAAAGGCCATTTTCTACAGCTCTTCAAAGAGGCTGAAGATTATACTATTTATACTAAAAAGAATCTCTATGTATTTAAAAGATCTGATTATCCTAAAAATAAATATGACAAACATATAATTCTCAATACCTATCTAATTTGAAACTAAGAGAATAAACAACTGTGCAATATATGAAGACAATGATCTTCACCTGTAAACAATGTCTTTACTTATCAAATGTAAACAATGTTATTACATAAATAGTACCAGAGGTAGAAATGTACATTGTGATATGACAGATGTATCCATACAATATAAGCATACTCTTATAATTTTCTAAAAACAGTAAGTCACAAATACCAATCATCCCATCAAACCAGTTAATCCCCCTCTTTTTTTTTAATATACCACTAATTTCATACAATATCTCCCCATCCCCTCAACCCTAAACCAACCAGTAAAAGATGTCCCTAACCCTGTGGGCAAACTCTGTTGGGAGAGGGGACATCGTCCTCTTAGATTGCTTCTAGCTGACATGGGGGCGACGTTCTTCTTAGGGCCCCCTGTGAAAGCAAATGATGGTAAAATTCCCAAATTAACCTTTGACTTAAGAAAATTATAACTAGTCTCTGAGTGTTTTGAGAAGGTCCGGCCAGAGCGTTGTCAAAAATGTGCATCATATGAAATTGTCTCTTACAGTTGGTACAAAAAAATAGGTCTAAAATTAGTGCTTAAAAAAATTCATGACGTCATAAAAACCAGATTGAGTTGATGTTGTGGGGCCCCATCTTCATCCTGGAAACTTCAAATATTACTGTAGGAAAATATGTTGCTTGTTATGGGAAATTTAAACATTAACAACAAGGACATATACCAACATATAAAGAAAGACAAAGATATGAGGAAAGGCAAAGAAAGCTTATCAGGTATCAAATTATTCTTATTTTGTCCCATGTCATGGCTCCTGACCTGAGACAGAAACTCTGAAATATCCCTTATTAACAGGCTTGGAATTGAAGAGGGACTGAGCCATAGTCCAACTCCAAAACCAGCTCTACACATTTATAAAGAAGTGTTCAATAAAACACATAAATATATATAAAAAAATCAATACTTACAATATGTATAGAATTTTATTGTTGATGTTTAGTGGGTCATAACTATTTTCCATCCATCAGTAATTAAATATTCAGGGTCCCTTAAATTCTTTGGAGATGAATATTTTTTTTTGTGGAGATAAGAAAAGAACCCTGCCCCCATTTTATCAGTAATCCTTACCATCTGAATGTCAGTCATCCTTGTGAATGAATTGTTATCTATCTTTTCCAAGTGACTTCTCTTTCTCAAACCGATCCTTTATTAATTTTGATGGTATCCATAATTTTTCCTCACCTGTGGAGATAAGAGTAAAACCCCTTCCCCAACGCAGCACATCTCCTGGCTTCCATTGTGAGGTCAGCACATCCTTGAAATAAACTGGTTGATTTAGTTCAGCAGACTTTTCCATTATCCAATGTCTTTTTGCAGCCATCGTTCCCTTCTCGTTAGCGCTGAGAAAATTCAAGGTTAACAAAGCATTATGTAACCTATTTCTGGGGGTGTTTTCCATCCCTTTCTGTTTGTTCAACATATCCTTTATAGTTCGATTTGATCTTTCTATGACTGCTTGACCTGTAGGATTGTATGGTATACCTGTAACATGCTTGATATTGTAATAATCAAAAAACCGTTTCATTTTCCTAGAGACATAAGCAGGACCATTATCTGTCTTTATTTGTGTAGGTATACCCATGATAGCCATGACTTTTAATAAATGAGTGATTATTGAATCAGCTTTTTCTGAACTTAAAGCAGTTGCCCATTGAAAGCCTGAATAAGTGTCGATGGTGTGATGAACATACTTCAATTTGCCAAATTCTGCAAAGTGGAACACATCCATCTGCCAGATTTCATTTCTATGGGTGCCCTTTGGATTAGCCCCTGCTGGCAGTGGCGTTTGGTTATAGAAAGAGCAAATAGGGCATTTCTTCACAATCTCCTTAGCTTGTTGCCATGTAATAGAAAACTCTTTCTTCAAACCTTTGCTATTAACATGATGTTTTTTATGAAATTCAGAGGCTTGTAGTACACTACCAATCAATAATTGATCAATTTCTGCATTACCTTGTGCTAGAGGACCTGGCAGACCCGTATGGGATCAGATGTGTGTTATGTACATAGGGCAAAGCCTGTTCCTGATCAAATCTTGAACCTGGAGAAACAATGAGGTTAGTTCTGTATCATCAGGTATAAATTCAGCAGTTTCAATATGTAAAATAACTCTTTCTGCATATTGTGAATCAGTAACTATATAATAGGTTCTTTAAAATATTTT